ACACAGACACACACACACTCATACATACACACACAAACACGCACTCATACAAACACACACACACACACACTCATACACACACAAACACGCACTCATACAAAAACACAGACAACACACCGGTAAATATCTTATAATATCCGGTGTATTTCTAAATGTCGAAAAGACCATCCATGAATAATATGAGACCAGAGATACAACAGATCTAAACTAAGTTTTTTAACACGAGACTCGGTGAAAACAAACAAACAAAAAAACAAAACCAACATTCTAAGCACAAATATTTAGAAACTTGCCTGAAATCTGTGTTTCTCTTCCCAAAATGACGACTCCACACCAGCATCTGCTGGATGGCTGTTATTGTTTTCCCTCTACGATAAATAAAATTGAAAGTATATTTAAATTCGCACATTTCACACGCACGCACGCACAACCACAGACACAGACACAGATATCATTCGCAAGTTATTTCTGTTTTCGAAAAATAAATAAACAAAAATAAACACATGAACAAACAGATACATATTTACAATTACGGAGTAAATACTCAATCCACTTCCTGAAGCTCTGACTCCTAATCAGGCTGTAAGACAGGTCAGAGAGCTAAATATGTTTGTTTGTTTTTTAATCAAAGTTTGTTTATTGTAGAATAATTTCTTTATTTTTTCAAACTCTTCAGTTAAGTTTTTTTTAATGTCGTTTAGCTCCTCAATTTTGGACTCTACATTGACACACGCTGTCTATCTCAACTCAGTGCCTCAGAAAGTGAAAACAGGAGGCGAGGCACAATGACACAGAATGTTCACAGTGCTTTTAGTGTTTTGTTTTGCTTGTTTTTAGTTTTTTTTCCTTTCAAACTTTCTTTAAAGTAGGCGAATGCTATTAAATACACTCAGTAACTTACACACAGCCCAGCAGCAATGTAACTCACTTTTTTCCCACTGATTATAATGATCGTGACCCAAAGAATCTTTAATAGTGGTTAGCAAAGTCATTTTTTGTTATAAGTTTCTGCAGGCAATTGTGTTACTGGTGTGGGTTGTTAGGGGTTGTAAAACTACACAACAGCACAGTAGGGGCACCCAATTGGAAAGAGACAATTACAATAGCGAAAGCATTGAAGAGGGTTGGTAAAAAGGAGAAGAAGAAAAAAAGAAAGAGAGAAAGAAAAAAGAATGAATTGAAAAGAAAAAGGGAGGTGATGAAATAATGAAATAATCAAAGGCTGAAATTTCTCCCCAAAACAGTCATCCTGACTCTTTTATGACAGCAATGAATATCATTTTGTTTTTCTCTAAGCTATAAAAATAAGATTTCTTCCCATTTGCAGCAATCTATTTTAGAATTAAGTAATTCATTGCTCCCCCCCCCCCTTTTCTGTAATCTCACGTACCCCCCGCATCAAACTAGCATTTGTCTCAGCATGTAGACAACGGCAAGTAAATACTGCTGCAATGGTTAACTGCAGGATAAATACCACAGTATACTTACAGTTAATTCAGAGCTGAACCCCATTAAAAGACAGTTCTCTGATTAATTTTACTGCAGAGCACAGAACTGTTTCAAATCCTCGTGTTTCATTAATTGTTCTACAAACAGTAGCAAGTGGATTGTAAACACATACAGAGCCTAGCCATGCATATCGTTCTGCAAGAATTGTCCCAAACCCTCAGACACCAGCCTTTACATCCTTAATCTCCCTTATAACAAAATACTTAATCCAGTCTGAACATACAGTGTGCAGAGAGAATATATTCTGCCTGCTATTTTAACAGAGACACACTCCCTCCCCCCAACTCCCTACACCTCCAGAAACTGTCACAAAATGTAATAATCACAGTGATCTATTTAGTGATCAGACATCCCTGTAGATTTGGACAAAATAAATCGTGTATCTGTGCACCTTGGCTGATCACTAAACTACATTTTGCTGCTTCTAACACACTTGCTTTAAAAGCAAGGCCTAGATTCACAGCTACCCCATTCAACGTGACAAATAACTTTGTTTATCTGTTATCTGGCATAGATAAACAATATTTGTTAATAATTTAAATATCGAAGACACTGTAACATGGTGAGTGACATTAACTTCAGATTATTTTTTACTTAAAAAAAACTAAATAATACATTTTAATTTTTTTTGTAAAAAAAACAGAGATTTCTTTTCACGATTAACATTTGGAGTGCTATATAATGGCAAACATTTTCCCATCTCTCTGGCCATGAGAGTGTTAAATTAGCACATGGCATTGCAGTCATTTATGTATTCCTTCATTCATTTGTTTTGTGTTTTTAATAGATTGTAAAAGTATAATTTTATAATGTAAAGATAAACTGCAAAACACCAGTGGTGTGAACATTCTGCTACAGTAATTGTAGACTTTTTACATAAAGCACTTCCTGATTGTTTTGAAGGAAAATATATTTTTTGGTTTTAATTCTATCTTTATAAACAAAATGCTAAAAAGTATACAAACAGCTAGTGATATCACCATTCTACTATAGAACATATAGATAGATGTGTTTCCATTCACACTTTTAATATGCTGTCAGTACAGATGACATCTTTCTAAAGAAAAGGCAATATTTATATATTTTAAAAATGATTTACCCTTTCTTAATAAGAGAGATATTGGGGGTGGGGTGAGGGGGCGCAGGAAGGGGGGTTATAATTCGAATTAAACTTTCTAGGAAATATTGTTATGTCTGTTATTGAAATCACTTTAAATACAGTGGTTCTAAGGCTGGAGTTTGTTATGTTTAATGTTTACAAATAAAATTAATGCAAGACATTGATAAAAAAAAGTGTAACTAAAGAATTAAATGTACTAATGCATGATATCTGGAAGATTTAAATAAAGAATGGAAAAAATATATGACAGTAAAGTGTGAAATAAAAGATTATACAAATAACACGTGCTTCTCATAAAATGAATTATAAAAAGTAATGCAATTAATATTTTTTTAAATTTCTTATCCACTCTGCAGAATCCAAGGCTCTGCCTTAATAACCCCCCGGCCCCTATGGAAGTATAATGCGTTATATAGTAACACCATCGTTAGAATTCAGTGATCCTAAAAGGACAGGGGGTGATGTGGGGATCTTACAACAGCTCACCCTGCTCTATACACCCAGCTGGTTATAGAGTAACTGCCCTAGCAGTGCAGACACAGAATGTCCAATTCACACATACACTAATCAGCAGCCATAGGACTCTGCCAAGAGCACACACTCTATAAGTCCAGTAACACTATACACCCTGCTATGGTTTCGCAATAAACATCAAAAACCAGTTTAGCTGCCTTTGTGCTTAAGAAATCTATCACAGCCAACTACCAGCATCACCACACAACCCTCAATGTTCTTTTCAAATGCCACAAATAATAACACACACACAAATAAACAAAAATAAACACAGCACAAATACAGAAGCATGCAAGAAATTAAAATAAAATGTGATCAAGGATGGAATGTCTTCAGGAAGTGCAACATTGCAAGGAAGGGAAATAACTCACCTGTGTGAAACATTTTCTTGCTGTCAGGATCCTTTGAAGAATAGTTAGTGGAGCAGCTCAGATAAGAAGCTGTTGTTGTTGTGTTGTTTTTATATTGTCTCTCCTCTTGTTTTTTTTTTTTTTTTTTTAAGAGCTTTGTAAGGAAATAAAGCGGTTTGTTGCTCCCAGAGATGATGAGCCCTTGCTGGGTTTCTGAGGGACAGACAGAGATTGTCAATGAGAGGGGCTGTCACTGTATCACAGGAGAGGCAGTGTGTGAGTGCAGTATAGAGGCACAGTGCACACCTAGAATGATGATTCCAGTGTTATAATGTATGTGTCCCTGCTCAATGTGCCTCGCCTCCACAGTTCTTTTACTGGCCCATTAGCAAAGCATGACCTCAATCATCATCTCCTAGCAAAACACTTCCTCCTGCTACTTGAACAGAGCGGGAACTGAGGCTCTGCCAGAGCCTGCTTTCAAACCCACTAATCACTCCTCACATGCAAATACAATGCTGTGACTTCCACACAAAATATTGCTTTATGCAAAGCACTGGGGCTAGCCTGCCATCAGTCTATTGGCTGCCCTATCCCATGCCTGGTTCCATTGGCTCTGCTATTTCATTAGGAATACAGTTGATTGTTCAGTGCTGAGATTTTTTGGGGTCATTTTCATGGATTCTCCCTCTCTCTCTCTGTCCCTTTTAGCCACTCACAAAAGTGTGTGTGAGCCCAAATTGCAACACTGTATTATTATTTTTTGTAAATTAATTTATTTTTTCATTAACATCATATTTATTTTTTATTTTTTCTTACTGGTGTGTGGACGGATTGACTTGATTTGTTGCAATTTGACATTTTTGCAATTTTTTTTTTTTTTTTATTAAATTTTTCTTTTGTGGATTGAACAAATTTGGCTCGACTCCAACTTTTCACCATCGCATTAAGGATTTTTTTATTATGTTTTTTTTTCAATACCTACATGTTGTGTTTATTTATTTTAATTCATTTGTTTGTTTGTTTTTTGTTTTGATTTTGAGCAACTAAAAGGCATCACTACCTTACACCAACAGCTTTCTTTAGAACAAATGTGGTAACTGTAATAGCTTAGTGCTCACAGTGGGAATTAAATCATTTTCCTTGTAAGCGGTATATTGTTGGGAAGGAGATTTTTGTATGTGAATAGAGGCCCATTTGCATTTCCACAGAAAGCCTTAAGAAAACAATGGAGATAACCAAAAATATCATTCACATGTAAAAAGGGGGAAATATGTAAGGCAGGCGCTTTGCAAACTGTGATCTACCCCCCAGCTATCCAAGAATTGCACTTTTCTTAAAGGAACAGTAGCAGAAATGTAAATGGCCAGTGTTAGTCTAAGAAGGAGTTTTATGTCCTGGGAGCTAGTCTTGTGAAATAAGTCATCATTTGCAAACTTCTCCCACGTGTCCTATGTTGACTGTTTTGCTTTCTGATTTATACTAGAGGCGATTATATCTAAATATATATAGTATTTTAATCTTTAACAATTTTTTTAATTTTTTTATTCATGAATTAGAGCAGTATACATAGTTGGCCAATCAGATCTGACCCAGAAATGTAACTACAGGACGCTTTAAACATTTAGACAATGCAATGCTCTCCCTTCCTTAATATTTTTAAATTCATATTTATGTTAGTAATTTTATAAGTTGATTTTTTAAATTTTTATTTATTTATTTACTATTATCAGTTCTTTCAAAACATTATGTATTTTGTTGCAGGGTATTTTGTTTTTCTAAACTGAAACTGAACTTGTCCATGATTTCAAAAGAAGATACAGATTTTTATATTTTTTTAACATTCCAATTATGAATTTACTAATGGAGACTAGGCCGCGAAGCTGACAGAAAATCAGGGAAAAGTAAGTAAATATATTTGCTGTATTGACCACACACCACAGAGCACTTATTGTTAAATGGTGCAATATTAAGATTCACATCAGTCCACACAAAGGAAACCCCTGGGGGAGAGAATCGAGGTTACATTAAAAACACCAGCTTGATCTTGGGGTGCAGCTATAGTCTCTTTGAAACAGTCTAGAACACTTAGGGGACAAATATATAAAACAGAACGCTTGAGGAAAGTGAAAGAAAAACCGATTCTTAAAAGGGAAAGTAGGATTTGAGCGCCCAAAATGAAGCATTAGATAGTATACACTTGACTTTACTTGACACGTGAAAGTGCTAAAAGTCACAGCTCATCAATAAAGTATCTGGAAAGTGAATAAGAGGCCTGACAAGCATTGCATTCTCAAATAAAGTACAATGACGAGACAAACGACTCTGCCAGAGAGTTTGCATGTTAGTGAAAGGCCTGCTGAATGGGAGCTGGATAATGAGCTGCCTGCCTGTCATTGCACTGTCCTTTCTCGGCCCCTAAAACTCCTAAGGCTCCCTTTGAGTTTCTTTTTATGCAAATTTGTGGAGTACACCCCCTCCCTTACTGTGGATGGAGGATGCCCTCCACTCATTTCTAGATAGCATCCTATACCCTAATCCTTCAAGTGATAACCTACTCAGGACTGCAAGGTGTGTGTGCCTGTGTCTGTGTGTGTATGTGTCTCTGTATGTATGTGTTTATGTGTATTTGTATATATGTGTGTAGATGTATGTATATGTGCGTGTATATATATATCTATATGTGTGTGTGTATGTGTATGTATGTTTATATTTGTGTCAATATGTATGTGTATGTATATATATATATATATGTCTGTGTGTGTATGTGTGTGGCTGTATTAATGTGTGCGTATATTTTTAGATTTGTGTGTGACATGTATGTAAATGTATGTATGTATGTATGTATGTATGTGTGTGTGTGTGTGTATGTATGCATGTATGTGGTATATTATGTTTTAATCTGTATTTACTGGGTATTTTAGCATATGGCAATGTTGTGGGACAGTGGGAATATAACCAGTTGTATTAGCCATATGTTTATCTAAGGGAAGCTTTCAGTGTTCTATAGGAATGGTGTAAATATTTCAATATTTTGATTACAACACACGTGGCCTCTGGCTATGTACAGGTTAACAGAGCTATTAATCGCACCAGGATTTGGTGAGCAATACAAGGATGGGTTAAGGCAGGCAGAATTATTTAAAGAGGCTGACCATTCTCTTATATTATATTTTATTTTTGTGTTCTCTCTCTGTCTATTTATAATCTATCTATCTAGTCTATCTATCTATCTAGTCTATCTATCTAGTCCATCTATCTATCTATCTATCTAATATCTATCTGTCTATGTCTGTCTGTCTGTCTATCTACCTATCTATCTTTTTTATCTAAAAAGAAAATAATGCAAAATTGAAACGTGTAACCTTTTACCAGTGGATATTGTATAAATGACGCCTCCTCCCCCCCTCCCCCGTTAATGTTAGTCAGCCATTAGTGGTAATATACTCAGGCACACTGCAGGCCTTGAAACACAGAAAGGGTTAATTTACCTGTTTGATACTCTATGAATAGATTAAGAGAGACGCAAAATCACACCTGCACCAACAGTCACACTATTTGTAACATTGCTATAGAATGTATACTGATACAATTTAACATTTTGTCCAATCAAAATACTTCAAATTGTCTTTCTCTCTTTCACACAAAAACACAGACACACACACACACACACACACACACACACACACATAAACACACACATAAATACACACACACACACACACACACACACAGAAACACACACACAGAAATACACACACAGAAACATACACACAGACACACAGACACACATACACACACTTACAGAGATTCTTGGCTCAAATTGCTTCTTATACTGTATTTGTAATTAAAAAGCAGCCAATCAATTGCAATCAATTGCAATCTCTCCCAGCAGCAATTACAGACTCTTTTGTTTTGTCCCACTGTTTTTTTTCCTTAAAGCAACATGATTAAAATACTCAGCACAGATCTCTTACAGGGGCAGAAACAAACAGTTCAATCAGATCCACCAGCCAAATATAAGATTTTTTTTAACCACCTATCAATTAGCAACTATCGGGATTAACACCAACAAATGCCTCTCCTTAAATCAGCTCGAACCTGCTGCTATTTTCCCCCCAGGGGGCTCTTTGAATACACTCCCCAAAGGGGAGAAAAGTATTAGTTGGATGTAAAATGAAATCATCAGGTTGGGACCACGTGAGTGCCTCTGACGTCACCTCAATGGAGGCTACAGAAAGGGGTTTGGTTTTAATAGGAGGTACCAACAAACATAGGGTAAGTGCTGTGTTACAGAAGATTAAATGAACTTTTCTGTTACTACATTAATTTATTATGGGGTAATCCCGTGTGTGTGTGTGTGTTTCAGTGTGTGTGTCTGTCTGTGTGTGTCTGTCTGTGCGTGTGTGTTTCTGTGTGTGTGTGTGTGTTACAATTGTTCCATTCTGTTAAATAATGTGTTAATCAAAATCTGAAAGTATACCAGCAGTGTACAAATTTCTATCTATCTATCTATCTATCTATCTATCTATCTATCTATCTATCTATCTATCTATCTATCTATCTATCTATCTCTATCAGTCTATCTATCTATCTATCTATCTATCTATCTATCTATCTATCTATCTATCTATCTATCTATCTCTGTGTGTCTGTCTGTCTCGCACTCTGTCTGTCTAATCCAGTATCTGATTATATATTGCATTGCACAGCATTGCTCCATCTTGTGTTTAATAAATGTCAATATATTTTGCATTTATGCGAGTGTTAATGTATCCTTTATTGCTGTAACATACAAGTTACATTTAAAATAGTCAGGAGATTTAAGGCGATTTAGGGCGATTTAAGGCGATTTTAGTTGATTCGAGTCTTAGATGTTATTAAATACATTCTCTGGTTTTGTTTTTCTATAAACTTTTTAAAAAAACGCTCACCTATTTTAGAACATTTAATGGATCCCAATATTTGTTTAAATGCATCCTTCTGACATTTCAGTATATACAGTATAGTCATTTCTCTAAAATAGCTGTGAATGCTGGAAGGGGTATGAGTTTGGCATTCTTTGATTAGGGATATTATGTTAAGATTGGTGGCTAATGATTTAAGGAGACTAAAACCAGCTAGATTTAATCACTTGTTCAACAAAAGCTCTTTGTGAAATCTCTAGGATTGTATTTTTAGTGGTGAGATTTAAGTGTTGTAAGGCATAGTATGTATGTCTTGTTAGGTTAATATCTGTTCTATAAGTCACCTTTTTAATATCCAGAAAAATGCTTAAAGTCCTCTTGTCCAAATCGCTTTTAAAAATAGAGAGAAGCACAATTTTTGACGCGTTGGGTTTAGTTGCAGTTGCCTCTAGGTAAGATAATGCCTGTCTGTGTACATGGATTGCTTTTTGACTGTTGTAAATATACAGGACAGAGAGATAAATGGGGGTATAGCCTCATAAACAAACCACAATACCTTAACCGAAGTGACACTTTACGGTGTGCAAATTAACTGTAAAAACAGAATAACATTCTCTAAATTAACTTTCAGGAAATTAGAAAAAAAAAGCAATAATCACATTTTACAGTGTAAATATCACCTTATTCCCACAATTTACAAATAACTTTTAAAAAAAAGTCTGTTGGAGAATATTAAAATATAGATGTTCATTAGATAATATATATACAAATAAGGGGATATTAAAAAAAGAATCATTTTGTCCCTGCAATAGGGAGTTTAGGAAATAACAGTTAATGCTTGGAGAGGTGTTAGATATCTATTAATACAAGCTGTTCAGCTGTGCTAAAGTCCTATAACACTTAATCTGCTTGTTAATCAAGTCCCACAGCAGCTCAATGCGAGTTTTATTACAGACTGGAGACCCCATTCTGTTAGACAGGATCAAACGTTTTACAGGTTCCTCAGACCTTCCTCCATAATATATTTTCAATTACAGAGCAATTTGTCAAACGCTTAATAAGTTATAACATCTATTCTGCCTTGTGATTGTATTGGTCTCATTTTTCAATACACACTCAAGTGTGTCCCTGCTCTGCACAAGATCCCTTGTAGTTTGGAATGTTTATATTATGAAACATAAACATTAACATTCCAAATAAAAATACAAACAAACAATGTTACAAGTCCAGTGACATCACAGGTTAGTGGCTTGGCTCGTATAAATGTCACTTCATATTAACCGTTTAGATTTTATGTATCTATTATTCGTTTTACAAATCGTGTGGCTTTTTTTTTTACTCTAATTCCCACGGCTAAAGAGATTGGTGGGATCAGAATCGGAGTGGATTGGATTAAAATGTATAATATCTAATACCAAAATGCTTGTATCAATCTAATATACATATGAAAAGCGGATCTGGTCAGAGGCAATTATTGAACATCTTTTTTCTCTACGTGACAGCTGGATAAACACAAATTCTAATAAACATTTCTAATTAGGGAGGAGGCACTGGATGTTTCTGATTTCTTGAGATGTTGAATGTTCATGCTGTTTGTAATA